GGCGATCCTTCCACCTCAGCCTTCCAAGTAGCTGAAACTACAGGCGCGCGCTACCACACCTGGTTAATTTTTGATTTATTGTAGAGATGAGGTCTCGCCAGGTTGTCCAGGCGGGTCTCGAACCTGTGGGCTCAGGCAATCCACTCACCTTGGCCTCCCAAAGTGCGGGATTACAGGCTGAGCCACTGAGCCTGGCTAGAAATCACTCTTTACATTTTGATATAATTCCTGCCAGAATCTTTTTTTTTTTCGCATTGTTTATATGATTATGCTATCTTTCATTAGACTACAATAGGGGAGTTCTTTGGGCGGGAGACTACAAAGCCTCCTTGATGTGGACTGTTCCAGAGCCTGGGCTGTAGGGATTCTAGGCTGGCCTAGTCAGAGTCTTCCAGCTTATTCACAGAGTTTGAGTGGATATGGGAGTCCTGGAACTTCCTAGAGAGCTCATTTTATACTGAAACTGCTTCTTGCTGAATGCTGTAACATTATTATCATCCATATTATTAATTTGTATATTGAGTATTTTCTAAATGTGGGATCCTGCATTAAGTACTTTTCACGATTCTCTCACAGTAGCCCTGTAAGGGGGCTGCTGTTATCCCCTTTTGTGGATAAAAAGCCTGACATCAGAGAGTCACTGGATTTGGTTGACAGGGTGGTTTTGGAGAGGAATGGAGTCTTGCTTTGTTGCCTTTATTTATTTATTCGGAGTCAAGGTCTCACTCTGTCACCCAGGCTGTAGTGCAGTGGCATGATCACAGCTCACTGCATTGTTGGCCTCCTGGGCTCAGGTGATCCTTCCACCTCAGCCTCCCAGGTAGCTGGGACTACAGGTGGGTACCACCATGTCTATCTAAATTTTTTTGTGATTTTTTTAGTAGCGATGGGGTCCCACTATGTTGCCTAGGCTGGTCTCAAACTCCTAGGCTGAAGCAATTCTCCTTCTTCAGCCTCCAAAAGTGCTGGGATAACAGGCGTGAGCCACCACACCCAGTCATTGGCTTTTTTATGACTCAGTTTACTGGTTCCCTCCTGAATCACTGTGTTTTTCTTGCCTTTGCAGGAGCCTGTGTGAAATGCAGCAAAGGGGTGTTTGGGGCCGGCCAGGCCTGCCAGGCCATGGGGAACCTCTACCATGACACATGCTTCACCTGTGCAGCCTGCAGTAAGTGTAGGGGTGGGAGTAAGGGTGTGTGTGTGGGGGGGTTTAGGAACATGGAGGTCAAGAAAGGGAGAAGAGAGATCATTTTTCCTGGAGACACGCGGCCCACAGCCCTCCACAGACCCACAGAAAGGCTGGATAGAGTCTGTTAGTGCAGTGTTTGTTACCACCAATACAAGGCCCATCAGGATAAGGTGACTTATCACGAAGTACCAAAGATTGCCTGTGACTTTGGTGATAAGTTGAGTGGGTGCAGAGTGATCCCTAATAACACCACGTTTGTAATGCTTAGTAGAGGTCTCGAGATTGGGGTAATTGCTGGGATTCACCATTCTCTGCCCTGTTGTCAGCTATCCGCCCCCCCCACTGTGGGGCTCAGCCAAAAGTGATTCATCAGCCAGTTACCCCAGTGTCAGGTGGGCCACTTTATTACTCTTTGACCCCAATCTTTGATTTCGAGTTTTCCGTATGAGCATTAGATGTGTGCACACATCACACACGTGCTGGTACCTATTAGCACACACCGGTGGACATCTTTATGCTCTAGAACCTGCATTATGATTAAAGCAGCAAATCTGGAGACTGAATTGAATTGATGGGAACTGCTCCCAGTGGAAGATTCTAACATATTGCATGTTTGCCAAGTCTGTCCAAGTTATGGATTGTGCTTGTTTTCTGGTCTCCACAAAAGATTGATTTTGAGGAGCATTTTTGGAAAATAGTCCTGCTGATGTTTTCGAATTCTATACTGAGGCTGGCAGCTCTCAGTTAAAAGGGAATGTTGCAACAAAGTTATGGCTTCTCACGGACCCATGTTGCTCAATCCTGGCTGCTCTTTAGAATCACCTGGGGAGATTTAAAAAATCAGGTGGTGCTCTGGCCCCACCCCTGACCAGGTAAGTCAGAAGCTCTAGGAGTGGAGTTTCTAGAGTGGGGCAGCAGGTGTATTTTTCCAAAGCTTCTCAGGTATTTCCAGGGTGTGGTCAGGGATGGTTTAATGCCAGGCTGCTCATTTTAGAAGCCTCCTGGAGAAGGGAAAGGAGGAACGTGCTTGCAGCTGGTGTGTGGCCCAGTCATAGATCCTGATTCCCAGTATTAAGTTAATAGTGACACGGACCTGCCACCTAACCTGCTGAACTTGGATGGCCCAGGCAGTTCTAAACTTCACACTTCTATTCTTGCTGCAGTTTTTACTAAAACATGTGCCTGAGAGTTCTTTTTTTTTTTTTTTTTTGAGTTGGAGTCTCACTCTGTCACCCAGACTGGAGTGCAGTGACTGGCCACCGCAGCCTCGACCTGCTGGCCTTCTGCCTCAGCCTTCCAAGTAGCCGGAATTACAGGCATGCACTACCACGCTTGGCTGATTTTTTTATTTATTGTGGAGATGAGGTCTTGCTGCCCAGGCGGGTCTTGCACCCATGGGCTCAGGCAATCCACTCACCTCAACCTCCCAAAGGCACGGGATTACAGGCTGAGCCACCGAGCCCGGCTGCCTGAGAGTTTATGGTTTGCACAATATTCAGTGTTTACCTTTGTAAGGAAAAACTGGGACAGACATTGACATGGATCAAAAAGCCTACCGAGTGTCCTCAATGGAAATCTAGGAGCTGCCTGGTTATCTGATTCTCTGGGTCTCTGGGCCTTTCCTTGTCTCTGAGCTAAACTACACTCTGTAAGTTGTAGACTATTGGTGGTAATACACATGAATCTTGTCCATGGCAATGCGAACTGTATCTGGTGGAGATGTGATTGCTTATGGCTGCCCTATAGAGACTGACCAGTTTTGCATCTATTAAGCATATTCATTTCAATATTCCTGATGGCCTTACATGTATGGATTTTTGCTTTCTCCCAGTTATAACACCTTACAGGTTTCTTCATTAAGCAATGAGCTAAATAAAATCTTCGACACATGTTTGTGTTTTATTATCTCTGTGGAGGCTGTAATCAGACCCTTCTTTAAAATGTGTCTTTGATTTTTGACTCTGGCAACTATTTCTCAATATTTGCTCTATTTCCCAGGAAATAAATATTAAGTAGAGTCTATTTTTCACCTCAAGCAATTACCATTTGAACTGGGAAGGCTGTGGGGGGAGGGAGAAAAGAGTTAGGATGAAAACCTATTAATAAGTGTCTTAGTCTGTTTAGGCTGTTATAGCAAAGTACCATAGACTGAGTGGCTTATGAACAATAGAAATATATTTCTCACAATTCTGGAGGCTGAAAAGTCCAGGATCAAGGTCCTGACAGATTCAGTGTTTGATGAGGACCCACTTTCTGATTCATGGATGGCTTCTCGCTATGTCCTTACATCGTGGAAAAGGGAACGGAGCTCTCTGGGGCTTCTTTTATAAGGGCCCTAATCCCATGACTGAGAGTTCCACCTCATGGCCCAATTACTTTCCAAAGGCCCCACCTCCTATCACCCCATCTCCTTGATGGTTAGGATTTTAATCTATGAATTTTAGGGAGACATGAACAGTCAGCCCATTGCAGATGAGTCAGTTGGTTCTACCTTATAGCTGCTTCAGTAACTCCCTGTTCCTTAATGAATTGAGTTTATCTTGTTTCAAAATGTGACAAGCACAGACACTTAAGGAAGATAGGACTGGGTTGGGTTTTTCTTGGTCTAGCATTTAAGGTCCTTGTGGTCTTGTTCCTGTCTTATCACTTCCTACTCGCTGTCACAGTCAAACTGAACTTCTCTTTTTCACTTCCATGCCTCTGATCACACTGTTCCCTAGAATCTCCTCTCCTCATTCAATTTATACATTTAAATTCTTTTTTTTTTTTATTTTTTTTAGTTGGAGTCTCACTCTGTTGCCCAGACTGGAGTGCAGTGGCCGCTCCCGGCCACCGCAGCCTCGACCTGCTGGGCTCCGGCGATCCTTCCGCCTCAGCCTTCCGAATAGCCGGAATTACAGGCATGCGCTACCATGCCTGGCTGATTTTTTGATTTATTGTAGAGATGAGGTCTCGCCAAGTTGCTCAGGTGGGTCTCGACTCGTGGGCTCAGGCAATCCACTCACCTCAGCCTCCCAAAGGCACGGGATTACAGGCTGAGCCACCGAGCCCGGCTCATTTAAATTCTTGTCTAGCCTTAAGACCAGCTCAAATGCCTCCTCTTCCAGGAAGTCTTCCCTGTTCCCCTAGCAGGAGGGGACCTTTCCCCCCAAATTTGGATGCTCTGCTTTCTTGTTGGTATTATCAGGGTAGAGTGTGAACCACACTCCCTGTGTTTCTAGTGCCAGCAAACCAGACCCTAGAACAGAGTTGTGAAAGGAATGAGGACCAGTACTCTGTCAAAAAGGGAGCACAGTGGCATTGCCTTTTGCTGCTTCTGTTATGCGAATGCCCTGCTGCCTCTCCAGCTGTAGAGAGCATTTGGTGAGTTGGAGACCTTGACATGTGTCTGAGCAGCTTTGGTTGGGCACTAGACGTAACTTGCCTTTGTTCGGTTAACTTATTGCTGCCCTTTAACTCAGCTTTCAGCAGAAGGAGGAGGCACTCCGGCACTCTGTGTTCCGGCTCTGCAGGTCCTCGAGAGTGTCTCTGTGAGCCTCAGCGCCATGGGGACGGTGTGACTGGAGCCCAGGAGCATCCCATCTGTCACCTCATTCTTAGCTGAGAACGTGGGGGCAGAGACGGGAAGAGAATTTCTCAAGGACAAAAGCTGGTGCTGGAACTGGCACCCGAATCCAGGGCTCCTGAATCTAGGTTTGCCTTGTACTTCCCTGTTTTTTGGTTCTCCCTCCTCTGATTTGCTTTCTAGCCAAGGGAAAAGAAGGGTGTTTTCTGTGTTCTTCATCATATTTGATTGTTGGTAGAGAGAGCCTGGTTAGTGTGTGTACTTCTGAGTGTATATGTGTGTTTTCTTTTTTCCTGTTTCATATATGAAAAGAACTTAGCTTAAACATGTGTATATGTGTGTATATATATATATATATATATATATATATATATATATGGTATTTAGAGCTAGATTGTGTACGTGTATATTTGTAGGTATATGCACACACTTCTTGAGTTTCATGGATACTGCATTCAACATAATGTTGGGATACAGTCCCACTCGCACACACTTACAAGACAAAGCCAAGGCCTGACGGGTTTGACTGGTAAAGATACAACAGGCCACTTTGGGTTCACGCAGTTTATGACATAGACAACGGAAAGAAGACTATGCTGGAGGTACCAACTTCCTGGGTACGCTGAAGATGACACTGAAACAAAAGGGGCCAGTGACTGCCATACAAGTCATGGGAACCTGAGGAGTCACGCTAGACCACAGCTGAGAGGTCCCAGAGCCCAAAGCTGTGTTCAGAGGGGTGGGCAGAAAGCTCTGTACCTCATTAGAGATGAGACACTGTCTGGTGACAGGGCTCCCAGGGGAACAGGGAGGTGAATGGGAGATGCCCTCGCATCCTTCTATGTTCTAGAAGACTGTGTGTGTTCCACCTAGGCTTAGATGAATCTTGGCCTGCATGGATACGTGCATGCTCTCCCAGGCCCTGTGGCCTCCCCTACATGGGTATACACATCTCCCCACCCACTGATAAGAAACATTCATGCTTACTTCATTTTTAGCGGTGAGAACAGCATGACAAACCACAAAGAATTTTTTTTTTTGAGTCAGAGTCTCACTCTGTTGCCCAGGCTGGAGTGCAGTGGCTTGCTCACGGCCACTGCAGCCTTGACCTGCTGGACTCAGGTGATCCTTCTGCCTCAGCCTTCCAAGTAGCTGGAACTACAGGCATGCACCGCCCTGTCCGGCTAAGTTTTTGATTTATTGTAGAGATGAGATCTCACCAAGTTGCCCAGACTGGTCTTGAACTCCTGGACTCAGGCAGTCCTCTTGCCTCTGGCTCCCAAAGTACTGGGATTACAGGTGTGAGTCACTGTGCCCAGCCAAGAAAATTGTAAAGGCAGAAACCTGCTATGCTAGCATTGAAGCACAGCTATTTTCATTTTGTTTTTCCCTTCCAGTTTTTGTCTAGGTTTAT